CAGACAAAAGAATAATTTCTAGCCAAGAGAGGAATGAAAGATCTTGACCTTGCTTACTTATATGGACAAGTGATTTATCATTCACAAGAATGTCAACCTAATTATGAAAGGGACACTGATTAGGAAAGGGAAAATCTTGAAGATTATATAAAGCCAATTCAATTAAACATTTTTTAAAAGAACGTATGGAGTTAAATATCACCTTTTGCATCTGCAGCAAATATCCATGAAGAAAGAATAAATTTTACAGAAAAGCAAAGTCAAGGTCCATCAGGAAGCAATTCATATGTAAAAACAAACACAGCTTATTTATAGCACATAGGACACAACAGCATTAAGATTAGAAAGAAATATCCTCACAAGATGATCCATGAGTCACCTCTGGGAAGGAGAGCTGCACATCACCTTGTACTTAGATAATAAATTATGAATGGAAAGACACGTGTATGTCTTCACATGATTTGTATGCCGTTACCTTCCTTTGTGCAATTTGCTTTAGCTAATAAATCTTATTTCTCGAAACAAACACAAGTCATTTGAAGCCTGGATTTCACTTTCTGGTTTTTGTCAGTAAACTGTAGCAGACCTGCACAACATTGCAGTGACTGGTAGGTCAGCAACTTTCACCTAGCCCAGGGGAAGGATGATGACACCACACAATCACACCAAAAGCAGGCAATGAACGTTCCTGTACCTCTATGGTAAGCAGGTGGGCAAGTGGACCCCTGCTGTACCGGAGGACGGGAAGACCTGCAGACAGTGCACCTCTTTCTCCCTACAGAACAGGCTTTTGCAACACTTCTCAACATAGCCAGAGAAAGGAAAAGTAGACACCTTCCCTGTAAGAGAGGTTATTGGTTTTGAGAAAACAAGTGTCACCCTGGAACAGGTATTATGGAACAGATATTTCTAGTTAGTTATTATTGACTGCATTTGATTGCTTGGAAACCTTCTCTTTAAAGATGGTTTTCAATCCTTGCTCTTTGGTGAAACGAGCAACATACCATGGATATTACAGCATGTGAGATACAATCCGATATAAACAGCATTTTTATGGAATAATCTTTTGCATGTTATATATCACACAACCAGTTATTTAGAAACAAAAATTTATCCAGGCCTTTAAAAATTACTATAAACAAGCTAATTTAACTGGCAGCATTTAATTCTGCTTCCCTTTACCATTCCATAGCAAACAGCAGCAACCAGTTATGAAGCATCTGCATCTAACTAGCACAGAAAAGAAAGGGGAAAAATGTTCTCAACTGTGAGGCAGCAGCATTACCAGGCTGTGTATTTCCTAAGTAGGGATCCATTCCTTATACACTTGCTCTGATTTGGCAATTGCCCTTTGAATGGCAATCCTACTACATTGAATACTCTTGTTCTTGCACATTTCCTAAAGTTCAAATGATCCCTCATATCAGAAGGAAAAGAAGGATCTGGTCTCCCAGATTTTTAGCACTGAAAAAGATACAAAAGGCTAAATAACCTTAAACTGCAACCCAATAGCTGGAATGCTATTAATTTCCTTTGACTTATTTGGTATCCATAGCACAACTACAGCAAAAATAATAGTAGAAGATAAAAATCCATCTAAGATCAAATTTTAGTGGCGATGCCTATCCATGGCAGTTCTTCCCTGCAGAATATTGGAACAGATACTGCTTTTTTTACTAATAAGAGCGACAAACAGATGTTTAAATAGGTTAAGGATGAAAAGGGATTTAGTTTGGGAATAAATAATAACTACATTCTCTTTATTGGCTTCCATCTTGATTCTTCTAACAAAACTCTCCCATGTATAAACTACATGCAAATTCTGTATTGCTTGGGGCTGTGTGGCCTTTTCAGAGATTTTTGCAAATAAAAAGCAAGATTTCCTTTCAATATTAAGTGCAGAAGAGTTATTTATTGCTTGTTACCTCCACAGAAACAGTATATATAAACGCTTGCATTTCCTATTTCGTTTCATTGAAAAAAAACCCCACCCAAACCAAAAACCAAAACCCAGTGCCTAAAGCTAGAAGACTCCTTTTGATCTAGTAAAAATCCTTATCTGAATTTTCCAGGGAATTCAGCAGAAATACTGAGGATGAAGTTTTAATGCTAGAAGGCTGCAGTTCTGCTTTCTCTGCTCATTCCAAGCTCTTCCCGTCTTCTGCCTGCTCCCGGCACTACCACTCATGCAAAGGCAATTGTGACTTATTTCAGGAAGCTGGCAATGATAAAGATTAACCTGGAAAGTGATCTTTTCTGACCAAACCAGCTCTCTGAACTGGCTTGCCATATGGTCCCATGATTATCACCAGTAGCTCAGGGGCAGGAACACAGCAGCTGAGACTTGGGTTGGCTTACACTGCAGCAAAGTCACACTGTAACCTGCTCTCACCCTTCCTGGACCACATACTCCTAACCCCAATGGAACTAGCTCTTGGAGCAAGACATCACCATTGTGACTGAAACAAGACTCCCTCAACTCCGCCAAGACAGTCTGCAATCAGCTGTAGATCTTGTGGCTGGAATAGCCGCTAGAATGGATACAAATGAAGCAAAAGCATTTTTGTGGCAGAAAGCAGAAATTTTACACTTCTTAGTGATATGATTGCAGAAAGGTTCTCACCCTTTAACATGTTTTGATAAAGAATGAAATGCAGGCAAACACCTTTCCATGGAAGTCAAACTAGCCACAGTGTCACTAGACTGAACTCAGCACTAACTGGCAACGCTTATCATGCTTATTTTCACTTTATTTGATAACGTTCCCGACAGTAGAATCTCCTGTGTATGCTCCACTAAACTTTTATATTTTATGGACTATGTTACCACACATCCTCTCCATTTCATAAGTGCACTCCCAGACAACCCCATAAAATCCTGTTTTATTACTTACACTACGTTTCTTGCATATGAATACATTATCTTTACCAAGATGATGCTAGCAGTCCCAAGGCTAGTCTCCCTTGGCTGTCTCTACAGCTCCCAGGAGATAACAACCTGCTGGCACTACCATGTCCAGTTCAACCTTCCCAATATGTGTCCTCTGTGCCCTCTTCTCCTTGACAGTGCTGATGTTTGATCCTTGATCAAACCATGTTAGGGAGCTAAAATACTAGAAACTCTCATGCCCCTCCCCACCAAACCAACCCAAAACATACTCCCCGCCAAAAAACAAGTACAGAGTTTCTACTGGTTCAGCTGCCTGAGGATCAGAGAAATGTAAGTCTAATAGAGACAGGGGTAGGAACAGAGACTGGTGGAAGGGAAACCTTTTTGCAGCAACTATAACCTCAAATCATACTCCTGGAACCAAAGCTAAGTCAACTATGGAAAAATAACTGCACTGAATTTGGGCTTCATTTGTTCTGAAGTTCATGTAGTCTGGTTTCCAAACATAATACACAGCTTAAGTAAAAGCATAATCTAAAAACAAATCATCATAATTTAAGATGTTTATATACATAGGACAGGTAGAAAAACTTCAATTTCTTTGGTCTAACTGTAGCTGCATAGAGAACCATCACTCACAAAACAGACACTGCCAGAAGATTCAGATTTTTAACAAGGTCCCTAAACAGTATCTTTAAAAACAGAACAATAAATACTTCATGCAGTAATTCTGGAAAACATGCACACTTTCTTTTGGCTCAGTGCACACATTGCAACAGCAATTCATTAATGTTTTCTGAAAGTCACGCTATTAGAAAAATGTTAGTACACAAAACCCATAAAAACAACGTATAATAACAATTTGCTTCAAGTACTACTGAAACACAGAAGGAAGACACAGATGGATTCAGGGACTGACATCATGACATGAAGAAAGACTATTTCTTGTGAAAGTCTGAGATCAAACGTGCAAAATACTTTGGAACAAAAAGCAAAAGAAATCAAAAGTCGTCAACTCCCAAGAGTTACTGAGTAAAGTTAAAAGCTTGCACTCATCCGAAGTTCAGAGTAGATCACAGTGATTGAAAGTTATTGGACCTTTCCCTAGAATTCTAGCTCAAAGTTTGTCCAGGACCTCTTTAGCAACAGCATATCTCAAAATTATGCTATGCTGTATACATAAACTCTTTCTTTCCTTGTTGAAATATGCAGTTTCCTTCTCACGCTTCTAGTATATTTTCTGAAGGTAACTCTTATGGCCTGTTATGGCTAGAACCTTATAATCAACTTACTGCCAGAAGTTGGAAAGTTATACACTCCTATGCCCACCCCAGTGAATGATCTAAGCTTAAAGATGAATTCAAGCTCCAGGGTCACTAGATTTTATAGTAACATCACACACAGTGTAAGAAATTCATGAAAACATGGTGTGCAATGATAGGTATTTTTTTCCTCTATGTATCATTTGTAAGATGGTGGCTCATTTGAAAAAAAGCACACACAAGGATAAGTGAAAAATACGCAGCTGCTAGAGGTTCACAATGAATTTCAAATGTGTTTTTGTATGAAAAAAAGTACAGTTCACTCTGTAACAGAAAGCTCCCTTCACCTGCAGAACCATGATAGTTATGATTTAACAGCACTGCAACTACATGTCTAGGCATAATGAGGCTCCATGCTCCCCTTTGGCTCTCTGATCTTCTCTACAGCCTGTACCTTTTACATCCACAGACATCTCTTCTCCCATCCCACCACTGGTTTTGCTCAGATTATTTGAAGATTTACGTAAAAAAAAAAAGTTTAAAGTGACACCTGGCAAAGCTAAACACACAGCAAATGTGATAATGTGTTTTACATGTCGAAGCTCTACTTAAATTACAGGCCTATTTACACACAAGAGTACTCCCATTCCTGAATTCAAGGTTGCTTTGCAGAACAGAACTACATTTTAGACTGAACTGTACTTCTTGGTCTGCTGTGACTTTTATTTGAAGTTACCGTAGTGGCATACAAGGTCAGTTCTCATACATGTATAATTTAACAGAAGTTAAACTGTTATGCATAACTAACAATCATTACGTTAGAAGCCTGTCAGAATTAGTTTAGCTCACCTCTTTATCCATACTCTCTAAATCCTCTTTACACAGGGTGTACAGGGGCATTGTCTCAGACATACTTGGCTGGCGTTTTCGCTTAGATGGACCAGGCTGCTCTTCATTTTCACTTGCTGGTAGGTCTTCTTCAAACATCTGCTGCTGATGTGGTTGAACAACTCTGAAAAATTTCAGGGGTCCCACATAAGAAAGATTTACTTGACTTACAGCTTGTCTAGAAATAAAATCCTACAAACAATTTATGACTGCTGAATATCTACGATTTTGTTTCATAGGATTCTGTGTTCATCAACGGAAGATAGATAAGTCTCCTAATGATTGTTTTTATTTTCAGTCTGATGGCTGAAGGTCTTATTCCACCTTTGACAAGGTACTCACTCTCTTGCCTTCCCATTGCTCTTGTAAGTAACCATAAAATCCTTCTTGAAGCCAATTGCTTTGCTAGCTGCAGATGCATTGCCCTTAAAATATTTTAAGGTTTGTGTTCAAGTGTCCATCACTTGACACATTTATCATTCAGGAAACAATTCTTACATTCCAATATATTTTTCCTGATCTATGTTATGCTGGTATTCTTGAGTCTCAAAGTACACCTTTCTATTTCTCAGCCTTACAGACAAGAGGTTGGTAAGTAGAAAGCTCATTTCTGCAGCCTCAATCTTCAGACATTTCCCAGATGCTAAGCCTGGATGAGATGCAAAACAGACCATATTTCTTTTCGGCTCGTGTATTCAAATAAAGTAGCATTTTCTCTTAGCTTGTATTTTATTACCTCGTTAGTTACTGTATTTAACCAGAACATGCAGATACAAAAAGGAACGTTAAAATGTTTATAAAAATGGAAAAAATAATAACAACTTCATGGGAATTGCTTTATAACAATAATAAAGAGAAAGACTACATCTAGAACAACAGCAGGAGCCTTCCGCCTTTCTTGAGTAACTTTTCTTCTGTGAATATTACTTAACTCTTAAGTACTTGTAGGAGCTAAAACTGCTACACAATACAGTTTAACAAATATTGGACAGTCACATTAACCCCCTGTAACACATTACAGCAGCTCAGCACCACTCAGAATCCCATTCAAAGACCTCAGGTCATAAAGCTCATGGGTCTCAAAGATTATGTGTGTGGAGAACGATTACCCCAAGAAAGTATAAAAGTGACTGTATTTGAAATAAAAAAGCTGTTTCAAGTTGTAACTACCAGGTGAGATACCATCAAGCTGTTTCTGAGGCTGGTGGCAACTGAGAGAGGCTACAGCGTGGTCTCTGCTGACAAGAGTTTCAGCGCAGGATGGCTGCTTCTCATCAAGCCTGGATTTTCAAGAAACAGCTTGACATCAGCAGCCCCACCCAAAAAATCCATTATTATGTAACTCCAGTCACAGGTAAGGTTCTACACAATCGTTTCTCCTCTCATGAACTTGACAGCTTCTTAAGAAGGTTATCATCTAAATACCAAGATTTTTTTCTACATCAGTACTTCAATCCCAGAACATATGAAATATGAAAGCCACACAAAGCTGTCAATTGAGTTAATTCTGAGGGCTCATATTTCCCAAATAAACATCTCTCTTCTGTCAGATCCCATGAATAGGTGCAGGAGATAGGGCATTCAAAACATGAATTCATGTCTGTCATTTCTTACAGGGGAATTTCTTATGAAGCCAAAACAGCAATTGGAATGTTGTATAAATGAACTAACCAAACTGTTTTTCTGTTAAGAGTTTCTCATCACAGTTTAACAGGTTTGGGTTTTTTCTACCCCCCTCCCCCCAATATTTTCTATTTTAGAAGACCACACAGTTTTCTTTTGCTATTAAACTGCTCTCAGACAAGAACTTTCATAGGTTAAAAAAAAATACAGCATTCCACTGTATTTTCCAAAAGGATGTTTTAAAATATTATTTCCACCCTTTTTAATTGGTACCCTAGCCAAAAGAAAGGTGGTGATGCTATTTACATACTCAGTAAAACAGATAATGACAAAATAAAAGGTATAAGCATCTTACACAACTTTTAACAACGTATTAAAAACACGACAAGCTTAACCATACCAAAAATTATACACAAGTTATGTAGCAGGCAGCCAAGCAGATCTTCTTAGAGTAGAAATAAAACTAGTATGTTTTGTAAGAACACATTATCATACTGATGACAGTGAGAACTCCTCCTTTTGCATAATAAAACGTGCGCTTATCCTTGACAACATTATTATATACAAACATTAACAGTAAAATAACTGTATGAATAGCTTCTAAAGGTTTCTGTCAGACTTTTTTTCCCAGTATTTTCCAACTACTGCTAGATAAAAAACCACTGGGATGTCTCACCAAAGCATTCCGAAAAGCAATATAAAACAAAGACTTCTTTAAGGTTTGTAAGAAACATTTTTATTTTATCAAAGACATTTTTCAGGCTTTACATTTTCAGGTGCTTGTTACGTTGATTAAAATTTAAAGACATACAAATGCAGGAGTTTACATTTATTTCTAATCAGATGAGACTCATGAGTACTTTTTCAAAAATAACACCATATTCAACCCTGCACAGGTTGGTTTGTGCTTGCCAGTCTTACAGGCACAAGGACACGCACGTGTGCTATAACTCACCTCACGCAGGGTGAGTTCAACATTTGTGGAAGTAACAAGCATCTTAACACTTTCATTGATACAGCAACAAGGCAAAAGCATAATGAAAATGTAGAAAATATTTAAATTCCATTCATTATTTCAATTTGGTACTTCGTATTTTTGATGTCATAACAAGACTGATAACATTAGATAGGAAAAATTGTAACAATGAGCATGTAAAGACACAAATTTTCTAAGTAAAATTAATTTATATGAATCTTAAAGAATTGCTTCAGCCACCAACATCTGCTTGACACACCTCTTCAGATGAAACATTTGGTGCATCTTAGCATTGTTTAAAACCAGAGTGCCACTTAACTTCTCACATGTTAATTAAATCCATATTTTAAGCCTTGCCTCATCTGTTAGCGTATTATTAGTGTTCACTAGAATTTAACTTGTAATATTATTTTTTCTTTATTCTAGTCCAAGATGCCATTAGCATTTGCCTTTTTTTTTTTTTGGACAACGCTGCATTACACATCTCATGACCTGTTACAACTTTAGTGTTTACTGTGATGTCTGTAGAATGCTGTTTCCATATGAAAATGCAGATTGTTAAGATACATACAAAGTGTTAAAGCTCTGACATGTGGGTTATTTTTAATGAGGAATCCTTCCTGTTCTCAGACAGAGAAGAGCTCTTGCCAGTCATCAGCAGCCACTGAGCAGCACTGCATTCCCTTCCCTCCCAGTACAGCCGCAAGATCTTTGCCACCCTTCCAGGCAGGCTCCAACAGCCATGACAAAAAGCAGGTGTTCAAGTCTCACAGACTCAAGCCCAATGGCAAGATCTGCGCCTGTCGCACAAAATGTCGACCACATTAACTGAACCATCTGTAATTCCCCGGTGACAGTTTCACTGCAAATGGCATGCAGGTATATGAACTAGTCATATCCTATTTTAAATTATCTTTCAAGTTGAATCCCAGAAAGAAACTAAAAATATTGAACCCACACATAATAGACATGAGAACTGAAACAGTTCTTATGAAGTGGTACTCTGATAACTTGAAGCTCTTTTTAGTAATCAGCCTTGGAAGAGGTTCTCTTTTAAGCACAAGGTGTATTCTTACAGTAAGAGACCAAGTACCATTGCTATGCACGTGTAGCTACCATCTCCCCAAAGGTTTCTTCTTGCAGCCATGCAATTTTGTTGCCCACTGTCTGAAATGCAGAATCAGATGAAGTTTTTCGCAACTGTCAAAGAAGATTATTGGAGGCTTTGACTACATCCACCCACAACAGCAGCAGTTGTGAGTGTCAACAGCTTTATCTAACTCTGCTTAAATGCAGGCTTAGTTACAAATACTCTCATCTTTCTGTAGGAAGTGAACATACGTGCACATGAAGGCTGTCAGGACACAAAATACATTGCCCTTTACCAAGAAAGGGCTGCACTAAGGTCATTTTCTCTGAAGTCAAATATCACATCAGTTTTTAAATCGGATGTGAAGTTTTTTTTAAAAGCTATCATTGACATATGCATTAAGATAAAGCAAGGCGACAATACAGTACTTCTGTCTCAGCTCTTGCTCAGTCAAAACACAGCAAAACTGTTCCTATTCAGCTTTTTGTTACCTCTTTACAGCCTTTGTGCTCTGCTTGCACTATACTTCCTTATCCTTTAAAAGTACTTAAAGTGGTATTTGATCACTGCACTGCTTTCCTCCTAGGCTTTACGAAGACACCCCTCACCACCTGAACTGAAGATAGCAGAACTGCTCTGAGGAATATAGGCAAGCCCCAATTAAGAGATCAGTGTTTACAGGTCACTAATTTTACCACTAGAACCAAATCAACAGACAATGGTGACGAAATTACTATTTCCCAGCATATATCTTACGCTAATCACTTTTCTTACAACTGCTTAGTTATGGGGTGAAGTTGCAGCACTAATTGGATTCACTTTTTTTAGATTAAAGCATCTCAACCCTGAGCACTGACAGTCAAAAAAAAAAAAAAATGCTTAAGTGAAATAAAATAAGGGAGTAGAAAGGAGATAGTCTTGCTCCACCACCAAAACCTGTCTGGGGCTCTGAGAAACTCAGACAGCTGAAGTATATTTATCTCCTTTTCCATAAGATGTTGAAGTGAAGAAGCACCTCTGCATTAAAGAAAAGCAAGCTTAGAGGTGTGGACATAACTCTTCATTAAGTTGTTGACAAAGGTAGAACAAACACCAAAACCTATTCTTTTTAAAACATTGAATGCTGCGTTAATAGCAACATAAACCATCATATTGAGGCATCTTAGAAGCGTCATGACAATTATATATGTGTACAACTTTCCCAGCTCTATTTCGAGACAAATTCCTTTCCACAATAACTGACAAACAAAACCAAAAGCTTTTCACCTCCTCTCTAGATACATGCTGTGTCTTGATTATTCAAAGGTTTTCCTGTTCATTTAACATATCATAGTAAAGTAAAATACAGACTTTAAAGACACAGTTAAAAAGGAAGTGAAAACAAGATGTCTTCACAAAAGAGACTCAGAAAACTTGTGTTGACAGAAACAAGGAAGCTGAAATAAGAAAAAGCCTATAAAAAGATGACAAGTGAAAAAAACGTATTTTGAAATAATTTAGCAACAGGAAGATAAGAGTGGAAACATAACAAGCTACACTAATATACAGAACCTTTATAAGTGATACACTATAAAAGTGGCAGAGGAGGGAGAAGAAAGGTAGAAAACTGAATTTATAATTGCGCTTTGTGTTTTTGTAGTTGTTTGGAAAACTGAATTGCTTTATAACAGCTGCTATACTCTAATAACATTGTACAAAGAAATTTTGATCACATTTTATGAAGAGAAAAGCTTTGTCTTCAACTGGATACTTCTTTACCACTGGAATCAACAAGTCTTGCTAAACTTCTTAGCAATCCAGAAAGTTAGATCTTTTACGTAGATACTTAAGGGACGAATTTTAGATATTTTATGCATCCTTAAAAGACAAGTGTTGTTGTTGCAGCTTAAGCAAATCCACAAATTTTGACAAAGTCCAGATGCTAGCCTTTGTACTTCAAAAAGCAGGCCGCCTCCTCTTCCGGTGCTTTAGTATCTTGATTTAGTGATCTAAGGATTATTAACTAGCACTCAGTCAAATGGCCTTATTTAATAATATTCAGTTAGCTACACCCCTCTTCCACCATCTTACGATATTCTTCAAAATGAAACACAGAGCTAATGTCCCATCTGAAGGAATTAGGTGAAGAAGAAAATTTCATAAACAAAAGGCAAATGCTATCAGGTATATTTTACAGACAAAAAACCAACCCAGTATTCTAAAACTTGTTAAAAAACATTAGGCTGTCTTCCTTCAGAGATGAGTTATGCTAGCATTCCTTAGGCTGCAGAAACTACACAGTGCATTTATTTGTTTTGAGGCTTCTAGTTGCTCTTAGGTGAGGCATAAAAGGCATCTGGAAGTCTAGCATCCTGATTTCACTTCAGCTGGCTATTCACTTTCACTCTTTTCCTTGGCTTTTTAGAAAACAAAGTAACTGCAGCAAAGATGACAATTTGATCAAATGCAAAGATAATAAGTTAAATTGACTACAGCATCTGAAAATACAGTTGAAGTGACTCTTAGCTATGCTTTAGGTACCTGAAGGATGAGTGTTCACCGTGGACTGGTAAGGTGATTGGAGGAGCTGGAGACTGGATGTACATTGACTGGCCAGAGGTCTGAGCACCTTTCCTGATTAGCTTTCCAGTGTTAGGATCATAAAGTCGAACTTCAGGACCAGGTTGAGACTTTGGATGAATGGGTGTTGGGTGAAACAGAGCTGTCTGAAATGTGCTGTGTGTATCAGGAAACGTGGCAGGGCTATTCTCTCTGTTGGATAAAGTTCAGAAAAAAATTGCTTTAGAAATTTAAATGAGCTATCTCATCAGAACATAAAAAACGAGCATTCCTTTTTTCTAAAAGATAAAGTTGGGAAAAAAAAAATGGTTTGGAAGATTCATGAGGAAACATTTCTTCTGCTCCATAAATTTAAAACAGAAAAATGAAAAGACAGATGTCATATTTACATTATTAAAAAACTATTAAATGTGCCTTAAAAATTGTCTTAGCACATCAAGCTACTGAAATTGCTTCCAGGTAGCAACTACTGCACAATCAGAGTAGCATGGTAACTTGCATGTATGCAACAAAGAGAAAAGCACAGTATTTTATCAGATCTTAGTATTTGCTCTCCAAATTGGCTCAGAGAAAATAAACACATGGTATTAATCTCCAAGTCATCCAAACTTGTTTGCTAAAATACTAAGCCACCTATGATCACCCTGCTACATTTTAAAATATAATTTTAGAAGTGTCAGCATAAACATTTGGAGATCAGTCTGCAGGAATCACCATTATGGCACACCATCCAATTATGATGGAAGTGCCACACACAAAAAAGCAACAAATTGCATAATTAAAAAAAAATTCAAATAAAACAGCATGTTATGCACTATGAAACCAATGCTATAGAAAAAACAATTAAACTATATTGTAACAAGTATTAGAAATGCCAAAAACCAGAAGATTTTTACCACACACTTTCATGGATGTTTCTGAAGTAGTTTTGTACCCTCAATACTTAAGGTCAACCAATTCCAAGTTTAAGAATAGCAAAAAAAAGAATAAGTAAACTCATTTTATTTGGAAATATTTTCTCAGAGTTCATTCCTCACCTAGTTCATAAGTGCTTTGGACTAGTAATCACTATTTCAAGCAGCTTCATTAAGGAGAAAATCTTATCGAAAGAAGTTGCACATGTTAGGTTAAAAAAAAAAGTATTTACATTAAGACAGATGTCTTACTGACTGAATTTTGAGGGGTATGGTGTGAGGGAAGGTATGACATTAAGGTATATTGCATTTGAAACACAGAAGTAGTAAAAATTATCATCATGTTTCAATAAAACAGAAGAGTAAAGTAAGATAGGTAGAAAGACCAACATTCATCTAGACATCAAAAAATGATGCTTACAAGTCACTATCCAGATTTCTGCTGAAAACTTGACAGTGTCAAGCCTCTGAGACAAGTTAAACATCCCATACGAATGTTCCAAAGTTTGAGTAAAAAACCAAACAACTGATAGCACTTTTTAAAAAAGTATTCTAGTCAAGCTGTAAGTAGGCTACATCTCTTTCCTAAGTTTTAGAGATCCTGGGTCTCTACCTAGTCTCCCATTTGATAAGTGACCTCACTTCCAGAGATTTCTACTTTCGGTGTCTTTGGAGTATATGAGGACTTACATACACACATTCTGCCCTCAAAGGGATAGTGTCTTTTAAGCAGAAAGCAAATCTCTAGCCTACTCAATCACACCAGTATCAGTTTAATACAGAAAACCCTATGTGCTGTGTTCCTTCCTGTCTAAACATAGAAGATGCTATTAATGTGAGTCTATCCAAACAGGTAACAAGTCAAGAAGCAGAAGCTGGCTCAACTGTATCTTGTCATGAGTTATTTTAGCTATGGCACTTTCCTGAAGGGAAAGGACGTTAACAGTCCTCTGACTTCCTCTGTGTTAATAAAGTTTTTGGCTGTCCCTTCTATTTGCTGTCATCCCAGTACACTGATTATTTTAAAGTCTTTCTTCCTTCAAGACTTTCTTATAATCCCCAAACCTCCTGTTCTCTCACTACATCTTTTCTTCCAGTTTTTGCTTCTACCTTCCTGCCTTCCAAACCCTCTTAGATTTTTCTGCTGTGTTCTCTCTTCCTCCTCACTACTAAGTCTCAGAAAAAAATGCCATACTTCAGCAATTTGTCACATTGTGGGAGTGTGTACATCTTTTTCTTAATTTGGCAGCACAAATGATCCTGTGCCTTGACGGCATTTCCTGTTTTAATTTGGGGATGAACCGATAAGGTCAACTGCTCCAGCTGAAGGTGGCTAACAACAACAAGGGCTGCTACCAGTATCACTGGTTTCTCCTGATTCTGATAGTTGCTGAACTGCCTCCCAACCCCCTAACAGCCTTCAGTTTAAGCAGCATAGAAATGGACAAAAATGGAGGTTCTTGCATAAGATCTATAAGCACTGCACACCATCCTGAGTTTGCCAGAAACTGATTTTGTAGCTGCATTAACAAATTAGTGTCATTGTATGAATAACCTATTTTCATGGCCCCTACTCCCCCCAAGTTCCCACTCACCTGTGTGTTTTGATGTAGTCATCCTTCAAGGGAAAGATCTGTTCCTCAACCTTGTCCCAGCGCTCCAGGCAGCTCCAAAGCCAATCAGGGTTTACAACATGGAGGTCCTTGCAGTCCTGAGCTTGCCGCACTTTTTCTGTGCCTATTACAAATTTAAACATAACATTACAGTGTTCCCAGAAACACAGAAGATAGTTTTAAGTATATACTGCTTTAAGAAGAACATTTTGTGATCAGTGTTACAGAAAAAAGAAACACCCCTCCCAGTCCAACAAAAGAAACACAACTGATAAAAGTGAGACTAAAAAAAGATGCGATAACCTCAGCCTCAAGCTGGATGAAGGTATTTGTAACTTCCTGAAGCACTGGCACTGTGCTTATAATCCCCAAACCTCCTGTTCTCTCACTACATCTTTTCTTCCAGTTTTTGCTTAGAAGTAGTCCACTAAAATTATCCATACAGAAAACCTCTACATCTCTGTGTTAACTAAACAAACAATGCAAATGCACTTTTGTATTTCATTTCCTTCATTTCTATTTGTCAGAGCCTAAGCAGCAACAACTCTCCAATGATGTTAAAGCCTAACACTAACTTATCGTTCTTACACACAGTCCCCTGTACACACAGTATGTTACCTTTTAACAGCCAGCCACCCACTCAACCTCCATCTGCCAGAAACAGGAGCAAACGAGACAAATGCATTATTTTGTGCCAAAGGGGAACAACAAGCGTGAAGTTAAATGTGACAGGCTAGCACAAAGTCCACATGTAAACCATCAGCAATGCAGCGTACAAGTAACAGGTGATCTCAAATTCCCCCCTCCGGAGAAGCCAGAGAGAGGAACTCAGTAAAGTTGCTATAAATCTTTGCCAAGAAGCATCAAAACCAGTAAGCAAAAGATGGTATGTCTCATAGCTGAAAGCCATCACTCTTCCTGTTTGTTATATCCTTACAATTTATACCATTTCATCTTATTTACACATTATTTAAAACGCTTACCATCCCAATCATTTGTCCATATTCTGTCTCAGTGCAAAGACATTTAAATACACTTAATATTGCACTACATTTTTTTGTTTAGAAATGTGAAATAAAAGGAGACTATCAAGAACTAAAGGCAGGTGTTCAATTAACAACTTAGCCCCCTCCTCTAGGTTAAGAGCAGAGATCTCAGAAATGAAGGTGAATACATAACTTCAAACACTACCCACTCCTGTTGAAGCCTATCAATTCTGCACAAAGACCCTGGGGTTTCTTCTTGCAAATGCTTATGCAAGACGACAATACTTCAGTCTAGTTTACCTTATTAACTTAAAAAACCCACTATAATAATTTCTAGTAAAGTTTTTATTTTTTTTAAAAAAATACTTAAAGTTAGAGTTTATGAGTCCTTGTATTTTTTCAGACATGAAGCCTCCAGAAAAAAAATATCAAGTTTCAGAACAGTTCTGACAAGGAAGCAAGAACAGCAAATTTATTTGATGGTTTCAACAGTTCCCTGGAGTTTTATCTGCATGACTGTCATTTAACAACATGACTCTACTAATTTCAATTAAGATGAAAGTCTTGAAGTATCCATACTTCTCCACATCTTTTGAAGATGAGAGAAAACGGTTAACAGCAAATACCTACAGGCCTGTGTAGGACCTGAGCTAGAATCTACCAGGGTAGACAGATCACTCTGAAATGCCCTTGAGGACTGATTTAACTAGTTAGTTCAGTTTCTAGACTTCTGTAAATTCAAAAGACTAAATAAACAGAAAGGGCAGGAGATCATTGTTCTTCACCAGCATGCTGAAAGCTTCTGTTTCCCTACTTTTGTTTCCCCAAACCCAGCAGAATACAGGAGTAGAGCTTCCTTTTCCTCTATCTTTAGATAGAAATACTTCTTCTCCCCTCTTGGATTTAGATTAAGAAAAAAAAAGTTCTGTGTACAAATACATTTCTTCTATTTTCAGCAGCAAATGCAAGCAATTCCACAGTCTCAGATTTAAAAGCTGTACAGTAAGTGTAAAGCTTTTCTCCACACAAGTATCTTTGCAATAAAAAAGCATTAAGAATCCAAGATAAATGAGCATTTAAAGATACAGTCCTTTCCAAGCCACAGATAATTTAGAAATGCCATATTTTAAATTTTGCCATGAAATAAAAATAAAACCACTGTGTCCAACAAACACTCAATGAAAACAATTTTAGAACTCCAACCATGTTAATCCAGACAGCCTTTACTGTTCAAGAGGTTTGAACTGGCTAAAAAGCAAAAGTCTAAGAACGGAAGTCAGTGCGCCCAGATCATTCATCCCCAATACAATAAATCTGTTTTCCAATTAATTATCAGTTACAAAAGTAATCAGCGACCCTGAGCACTTTCATGCAACAGTTGCTGGAAGTGAGCCAGTTTATAGTACCAGAGGCAGCTTCCATGGGAGGTATTATTATTATTTATATAACCTCAATAGGAATTGTAGTACATGCAGTTAGAAACAGTAAGTATAAAGCTGTATTATAATTTATACACAGGTATGTTTCAGAGGAAAGAAAGGAGAGGTTCTGAAGAAGAATCAGATTAAGAGATCTGGGGGGGGAAAAGGATTAAAGAAAAGTGAAAGACTTGGCTTGGAAAATGCTTTCTTTTGATAATAAAGGGGAAAAGCAATGACAACATAGTAGAACAAAGACGTAAGATGACAGCTGTTAAAGAGGATGCTGAAATCAGGTTCATAGGCATAGAAGTTTCAAGGAAAAAAAAAAAGCAACAAGAGCAACAAGTCCAGTGGAGATTTAGGTACTTGTGCCTGGTATTAGATACTGCATCAAATACCAGACGTGGCAAGCAATACTGTCCTGCACGTAACAGCTCTGGAGCCGACTGAATACAACATACAATAGCACGTGATTTCACTAGTAAGCATGCAGAACACTTAACCAGAGTTGCTGGTGGATAGACAGACTGTGCTTGTAATACCCTGAAAAAAAGCTGATCTGGTACAGTAGTACATCCATTTGCCCAACTAAAGATATTGCTGCTCCTTTTGGACTTCATCGGGGAACCTGAACAAAACAATAAAACCGCACCTTCATCTCATGTTAAATCTGTGAAGTTACATGAGAAGATGGTTTCCTCATTGATGATTTGTCAGGTGCTTCATCTTGCTGTCTATTCCACACACATACGCGTTCTGCATTCATGCATATCCAATTGTTTCATATTGGATGTACGCTGAGGAGCTAAGTAAATTCTTTTTCTAGTCAACAGGATTGTAACGGAAGTCTTAAACAGGAAAGCCAAAATGGCACTATTTGGTATGAAACTCTTATGGATCTGGAACAATAGTGCCGAAAAGTATAAGCCATTACCATAAAATTAAAGTTGGCGACATGAAGACCAGTATGTAACCAAACCCACCTCCCAAGGGTCAAAAGCTTTACCTTTCTCACCTCTGCAACACCAAGGCTTTCTGCTTCTTCCACCATTTCTAAAGCACAGCTGCCTATCACACGCTCCAGTATACAGAAATCGCATGAGGTAACACAACTGACTCATCTCAGGGTCTCTCTTCTATTTCTAGGTGACATCTTCACAAATCAAGGTTTCACATGTATGATGTTCTTAGAGCAAGACTTGGTAGACCACCAGATTTAACTGGGTAGGAGGAGTAGTACTGCAATACTGAATACCCTTGCCTTCTCCTCTCCTTTTCCCCAGTGTAACTTTCCCTTTTAGAAGTATGCTTATTAGGAAGAAACAGCAGAAAGGATTTTAATCCATCCAAGCAATAGTACTTCTGATGCAGTTAGGAACACCTGAACCATCCAGCTGGCCTAAAAACCACTTAGAAAAAACCCTGTCTTTCTGGACTGCTTTTTTGCATTATTCTCCTCTAATCCCCTTTC